AGGCCCACCTAAGCAAGGCAAAGTTACTCATCATGGGGGATTTCAACCACAAGGAGACAAACTGGGAAAATCTGGAGTCACATGAGGGTCCAGAGATGTGGAGAGCCAAGATGCTGGAAGCAGTGCTGGAAAGTTTCATGTACCAACATGTTAGGGACACATCCAGAGAGAGATGGTGAACCAGCAAGGCTGGACCTTGTATTCACCTTCAACAACTTAGACATAGGGGAAACCACACATAAAATGCCCCTCAGTGCTAGCGATCATGTGGTCCTGAGTTTCGAATACGTGGTAAACAATAAAGTGAAGCAGCGTGAAAAGGACGGCAGAAACTGAACTTCAAAAAAGGATACTACACACGTATGGGACAATTCATGCATGAGGTGCAGTGGATAAGAGAGTTAGGGGGGAAGACAGGGAGGCAGAGAAGTTCATGCCAAGAGACAACAGAAACAATTGGAAGACCAGAATAAGCCTATGGTTTACCTGGAGGTGTGGAGAGTCCAAAGCCAAGTGTGCTAGAGCAAGAAAAAAGTATAGAAGGAAAAGGACTTGGGAAAACGGGGACCTGAGCTGAAGAGACAGAAATGCACATGCATGGATAAGGAGAGAGGCCCATCGGCAGTTCCGAGAATGACATAGCATCAAAAGCCAAATCTAACCCAAAGTTGTTATACAGACACATCAGAAGGAAAACAACAGTCAAGGACCAGGTAATCAGGCTAAGGAAGGAAGGAGGGAAGCTCACAGGGAGCAACCAGCAAGAATGTGAGGAGCTCAGCTCAAGATTTAGGGAGGTGTTTGCAGTGGAGACAGAGTTCCAGCAAACCAAGGGAGTAGGGTGCACCAGCAAGCGCTGGACACACTGCAGACAACCAAGGAGGTGAAGAAACTGCAAGGTGAAATTGACACCTCGAAGGTGTGGGCCCAAATAATATCTTTCTATGACGGTGTATAGTGCGTAGCAGTGGTGGTACCTCCCGCAAGACTCCATTGTTTTCAAGGGTTATCACAGGATATTTTTGTGTTCCTAGAACTGTGCCAGTAAACATATAAAGTAAATCTTTCCAGTGCTTCTAACTAATCCGGTAGATAATAGTACCCGCTGAGACAGAAAGAGGAAAAAAGTGTACAGGAACTGGTGTCATGCGCCCACAAGGGAATCCATAGGCCTAAACAGTGTCTTGTGCAAATAAACAAATAAATCAAATACAGTGAGAGGAAATAAAGTCTCTGATAACAGAATGTAATCCATAGTGGTACAGTGTATATCATAGTGATAACATAGTATATTGATAAGCAATACCAAAATAAATGTTGCGGAGTTAAATAAGAGGGAAGCAATAAGCCTAGCAGGAAACCCGAGTTGTAAACAGTTGCCAGCAGTAGCCAGGATATTACCATGAGTCAGTTCATTTTTAGTGAACTTCCTACAAATGTTAGTCTACAATAGTGTATAGTCAATAGTGATACCATGCAGTACAATATATGGAAATACAAAAAAAAAAAAAAAAAAAAAGTTTTCTGGAAATACAAAAAGTGGACAGTCTTGTGGAAATACGACATAGTCACTGAGTTGTCAATGGTCGCACTATCTACAACAGAAAGCCAAATATTGTTCAAGTAAACTTTCTACAACAGTCGTTCTACCAGTGATACAAGAGTATTCGTTGTGGTGGAGTTAGAAAAAATCTGGAAAATCCAGAAAGAATTAACTCTGTGGCACTTGAGGTATGCTCAAGGCACATTCCTTTAAGAGAAAAAGAAAAGAAGACATAAACTAGAGAGAGGCACTCCCTATACAGGCAAAAGTGAAGAATCACACAGCTACTGAATGGGGCCAGTATATCTGAAATACAACAGGAGGCAATGGCCAGAGAAATAGCAAAAACCCACAGTGCCCATGGACCCACACTAACCCGATGTATTCTCTCATATCTAGGCCCAAATTTACCACTCACAATTTATCACACAGAATGAAACTGGGCAACTCTCCATGAGATACCAGTATATCTGAAATACAACAGGAGGCAATGGCCAGAGAAATAGCAAATATCGAACTTACACTTAAGGAATCATACAGGAGACAAGAAACACAGGAAGAACTTAAAGCCATAAAAGAAATTGAAAAATAAAACACTTTTTTTCTTATGCCAAATCTAGGGCAAAAATAACATCCAGTATTGGACCACTGCTTAAACAAGATGGGACTTACACACATGACAGCAAATAAATGAGTGAGATACTGAAGTTCCAATATGACTCTCTGTTTACCGAGATGTTTATCAGACTAAGGGTCGACAATCTAAATGAACTTTTTATGAATGAGACTCAAAATTTGGTTAATTCAAAAATTTCTGATATTATCCTGACACCACAAAACCTTGAAAAAGCAATAAATGACATGCCCATGCAATCTGCCCCAGGCCAAGACTCGTGGAGCCCTATGTTCATCAAGAACTGCAGCAAGTCCCTTTCATGTGCCTTTATTATTCTATGGAAATGGAGTATGGGCACAGGGGTCATCCCACAGTCACTAAAAACAACAGACATAGCCCCACTCCATAGCGCGTAAGCCACTGGAGTTTTCTGACTCACTCACCATGAGTTCAATCCCTGCCCGTGGTATGGTTGTTTGCAATTGTGTCCTAACAATTTCATGAGTCAACCTAAAGAATTACAAAAAGATAAATACATGAAATAAAGGGTGTGATAAAAGAGAAAAAGGTAGCTTATGAGAGGTATTTACAAAACAGAAGTGTTATAAGAAGACTAGAGTATATGGAGAGTAAAAGAAAGGTGAAGAGAGTGGTGAGAGAGTGCAAAAGGAGAGCAGATGATAGAGTGGGAGAGGTACTGTCAAGAAATTTTAATGAAAATAAGAAAAAAATTTGGAGTTAAACAAGTTACAAAAGCTTAGTGAACAAATGGATCTGTCAGTTAAAAACAGAGTAGGGGAGTTAGTAGATGGGGAGATGGAGGTTTTGGGTAGATGACGAGAATACTTTTAGGAACTTTTAAATATCGATGAAGAAAAGGAGGCGGTAATTTCATGCACTGGCCAGGGAGGTATACCATCTTTTAGGAGTGAAGAGCAGGATGTGAGTGTGGGGGAGGTGCTTGAAGCATTACATAGAATGAAAAGGTTGGTAAAGCAGCTGGAACGGACGAGATCATGACAGAAATGTTAAAAGCAGGGGAACATAGTGTTGAGTGGTTGGTATTTTTGTTTAATAAATGTATGAAAGAGGGGAAGGTACCTAGGGACTGGCAGAGAGCATGTATAGTCCCTTTATATAAAGGGAAGGGGGACAAAAGAGACTGTAAAAATTATAGAGGAATAAGTTTACTGAGTATACCAGGAAAAAGTGTATGGTAGGGTTATTATTGAAAGAATTAGAGGTAAGACAGAATGTAGAATTGTGGATAAGCAAGGAGGTTTTAGAGTGGGTAGGGGATGTGTAGATGAAGCGTTTACATTGAAGCATGTATGTGAGCAGTATTTAGATAAAGGTAGGGAAATTTTTATTGCATTTATGGATTTAGAAAAGGCATATGATAGAGTGGATAGGGAAGCAATGTGGCAGATGTTGCAAGTATATGGAACAGGTGGTAAGTTACTGTAAAGAGTTTTTATGAGGATAGTGAGGCTCAGGTTAGGGTGTGTAGAAGAGAGGGGGACTACTCCCGGTGAAAGGTCTTATACAGGGATGTGTAATGTCACCATGGTTGTTCAATATATTTATAGATGGGGTTGTAAGAGAAGTAAATGCTAGGGTGTTCGGGAGAGGGGTGGGATTAAATTTTGGGGAATTAAATACAAAATGGGAAGTGACACAGTTACTTTTTGCTGATAATATTGTGCTTATGGGAGATTCTAAAGAAAAATTGCAAAGGTTAGTGGACGAATTTGGGAATGTGTGTGAAGGTAGAAAGTTGAAAGTGAACATAGAAAAGAGTAAGGTGATGAGAGTATCAAATGATTTAGATAAAGAAAAATTGGATATCAAACTGAGGAGTAGTATGGAAGAAGTGAATGTTTTCAGATATTTGGGAGTTGACGTGTCAGCAGATGGATTTATGAAGGATGAGGTTAATCATAGAATTGATGAAGGAAAAAAGGTGAGTGGTGCATTGAGGTATATGTGGAGGCAAAAAATGTTGTCTATGGAAGCAAAGAAGGATGTATGAAAGTATAGTAGTACCAACACTCTTATATGGGTGTGAGGCTTGGGTTGTAAATGCTGCAGCGAGGAGGTGGTTGGAGGCAGTGGGGATGTCCTGTCTAAGGGCAATGTGTGGTGTAAATATTATGCAGAAAATTCGAAGTCTGGAAATTAGGAGAAGGTGTGGAGTTAATAAAAGTATTAGTCAGGGGGCTGAAGAGGGTTTGTCATTTAGAGAGAATGGATCAAAGTAGAATGACATATAGAACGTATAAATCTGTAGGGGAAGGAAGGCAGGGTAGGGGTCATCCTCGAAAAGGTTGGAGGGAGGGGGTAAAGGCGATGTTGTGGGCGAGGGGTTTGGACTTCCAGCAAGCGTGCGTGAGCATGTTAGATAGGAGTGAATGGAGACAAATGGTATTTGGGACCTGACGAGCTCTTGGAGTGTGAGCAGGGTAATATTTAGTGAAGGGATTCAGGGAAACCGGTTATTTTATATAACCGCACTTGAGTCCTGGAAATGGGAAGTACAATGCCTGCACTTTAAAGGAGGGGTTCAGGATATTGGCAGTTTGGAGGGATATACTGTGTATTTTTTATACGTATATACTTCTAAACTGTTGTATTCTGGGCACCTCTGCAAAAACAGTGATTATGTGTGAGTGAGGTGAAAGTGTTGAATGATGTTGAAAGTATTTTCTTTTTGGGAATTTTCTTTCTTTTTGGGTCGCCCTGCCTCAGTGGGAGACGGCCGACTTGTTGGAGAGAAAAAAAAAATACAACTTTATCTAAATTTGATCTACTGGATAAAACAAAAAAAGAAAATGTGAAAACTGATTTTGCTCTGAGTTTATTAAAGTCTTTCATAATGATATTCCAGAGATGACAATCTGTCTGTTATACATTATGAATATTTTGTCACATTATCACTGCTAATTAAAGTATAAAAACCTCCTTTTCCAACATTAATTTATTTTTTAAGTTTGACAAACATGAGTTTCAGAATGACAAATTGTATCAACACTTCAAAAAATACTGCAAAACCAACAATAAAGGACAGTCATCGATACAGATTCACAAGCGTTGCAGTCCTACAGACCTTGTAAAGCTGGGAACCACAAACATTGAAACTATTGTGGGTCTAAATTTAGTTTCAAATCTGGATGCATTTTTGATATCAGTCAAGATATCTTTTTGAGATGTTACCCTAATCTGGTTAATATTGACATTCATAAAAAAATAATGACCAGAAAAAGAAAAAATGTGAGTGTGGGAAAGCCAATAAACTTGGAAAACATTTGATAATTGAATGTAATAACTATTTGCCAGTCAGTAAAAAAGTTGGATAATAGATTCTATTCACTGGTCGTCAATCTGCAAAAGAACTGGATGACTGAAACCCAGAAATATGGGAACCCATGAAAGAGGAAGTCTGGAAATTTATAAGAATAACTAGAGTTAAACTCACAAATGTAGGAGCTTCCTTATACAATGGTTGTACTGAAGAGCATCTTGTGAAAAGTTTTAATAAATTGTCAATATTTTATAGTGCTTTCATTTGTATTTTGATTGTTCTGGTTTGGTCCAAAGCAATTAATCTGAAAAGCAGTTACAGTAGCGAGATTTTATGATCATTAGAGTAAAAAGCCATTAATGGCACCAACAGTCAAAGCACTTCAGAACCAATTAATTTCCTATGAACATGGGTTCACCCTTCTGAACATGACTACTCAAGATAGTGGAGGCTTGGAGACTGCAGGTCAGTGGTAGATGGTATTGCTGCTGCTGTTGTAAACACTGCCTCAAAACATTCATGGCTCGCTTCACATTCACTGTTTTTCATCTTTTACTTTGTAAAAGTTGTGTATCATGACTATAAAGTGCAAGAGCAGTAGGGGAGATACACCAGGTGCTACTGAAGAGCAAATTCATTGAAATAAATTGGACAAAATAACTTTTTTTTTTACAATCCTAACAACTCATGTAATGACGCCACACAAGTTCTGCGTCAGCCTTTACTGAGTGTAGATGTCTCATTCTCACCCAAGCATCAATAAAAAATTTTCTCCATTCTCTCTGGAACACTTATCCCCATCTTACCTTGCCCGCCAGACACGTTATAGGAGGGGCACCTGTCGTCAACTCAATTTTAGCCAGTTCCATTTTTTCACTCTGCTGAACTCTGGTGAGTGTGGGGGCATTCTGCTCTGGTGGGTCTTGGTGAGGGGGTCCACTAGGTCTATATGGAAACTTTTAGTTTGTTTCTATTTACAAAGGGACTCCTATTCCTTTATTTTTCATAGTCCAGCTTTGTACAATATCTCCTCTCTGTACACAGGAAAGCTGGGATAGATACAGTGAAAGATGTCAGTGGCCCATATAAACCCAACAAGACTGGACATAATAAAGCATAAAGAACAGAAGTGTTGTATTGTTTAACTTTTTTTAACACACCAGCAATATCCCATCAAGTTAAGGTGACTCAAACAAGAAAGTAACATGTAAACATTAAATAATTATTGTCATAGTTGCAATTAAAAAGATAAAATAATGAATGTAAAATCTTAGGTAAATATTGTGTTAAAACAATGAAATTAGGTAACATACAGATTATAACAGGGGCACATCTCTCATTATAAGATGTGCATCAACAGAAATACAGGTTCAAAATTCCAAACACTCAAGTTACACTTTTTAGTAAAGCATTACCATTGAAAGTGTTGAATGATGATGAAAGTTTCTTTCTTTTTGGGTTTTTCTTTCTTATTAGGTCACCCTGCCTCGGTGGGAAACGGCCGATGTGTTAAAAAAAAAATAAATTACAGTTGTAAGTAGGGGATATATATATAGTTCATTATTACTATTTTATTAAAATGGAAGAAGGATTGAGAGGTGAGGGTGTTAGAGGGTAATCTGAATTGCGATGTCAGCACACGTCTGGAACAACAGTGATACAATAAATGATGGTGAATGCATTTTCTTCTTTGGGTCACCCTGCCTTGGTAGATGGCCACTGATAAAGTAAAAAAAATAGTAAAATAAACAACATCCAAATCACTTTTCAATTATTTCCCTCTATCTTATGAATGCCAATAATAACTAGACTCTGGGGTTCAATTATATAATGACTCCATTTTCTAGCTTCTAGTTTTTCATTATATTCCACTTTTATTTTCATGTAAAATTCACATTTACTGAATGCAAAATCATCTGTTTTTTAGTCGTTTAAAAATATTAATTTGTGAGTTTTGTTTTCTAAAATTATCAAAATAAAAAATTAAGGACATTTTCGATCGACCTGTGATTTGCCAGACTCTTCATATTCCTGCTTGCTTATCCACATCTGCTGAAAGGATCCCAAGGAAGCAAGGATTGAACCTCCAATCCATGAACCAAACCTTCTTTCTGTTGTGCCTGTGGCAGAGATGAGTTTGAACCTCATATTAGGTGGTGTTCGGCTGGATAAATCACGGTTGAGACGTTCGACATAACCATTGAGAAGTGAGTTTCCTCCTGTGACGATGACACCCGAGTAGAGACTTGGCCGAAGATCAATATCGCAGAGGCCTATGCTTGTAGATACAACGTGAGACATGCCAAGCATTGTTGATCCAACACCTTTGATGTAACTGGGATCAAAAAGACTCTCGGTGATTCTGTAGCGCTCGGTTCCATATTCCTGTAAAGAGACAGAAAATAATAAATTAAAAGCATATATACCATGATTACTTATATACAGAACAGAAAACCTTTTGCTGCATTAGAAAAAATAACTGACAACTAACCCACAACTGAGAGTAAACTAGAGACAGCATTTTAGTACATCATGAGCCACCATCACGTCACAAGTGAGAGTAAAGGAGAGAGAGCCAGGTGGTAGGTCACTTGAAGAGGTAAGAAACAGCATAGGTCACAGGAGATAAGGAGACATCCAAGGTCAGGTCACATTACAAATGGTTTGAAGACAAGAATATTTGACATTGTACTGGGAAAACCAGGGCTAATATTCATGTCAGGAATGTTGTGTATATGGGTCAATTCCACAAGACACATTTATGAAGGATAAAAGAAGGATAGGGAGTTTTGGTAGAGAGATGCCTCATCAGATTGCCATTACTATATTCATAGGAAAGCACTGAACTTGTAGGAGTCATCAGCACTGGGTTGATCCCTAAAATGACAAAAAATAAAGCACTGCTAGTCTCAGCAAAGAAAACACTTCTCTTGTGTTCTTTAGATCTAATCAGAGGAAAACACACAACAGGATGACCATGAGGATGTATATGGGAAGGAAATGTCGTCGTAAGCTCCTCTCTTCTATGTGCGGGTTGTGTATTGTTCCAGTCACGGTATTGTGCTTTTTTTGTTATTGAAGGGTAGGGGACTGGGGTCACCCCAGGAAGGGTTAAATGAAGGAGGAAACTGGTCTGAGTGATGGAGGCTTGAGTATTCAATAAACTTGTGTGGGCCTGTTAAATCAGAGTGAGTAGAGACAAGTGGTATTAACGGCTTGATGTGCTGTTGGAGTGTGAGCAAGAAAAGCAGTTAACTGAACTTAAGTGCTGGAGGTTTGAAGTGCAGTACCTGCAAACTAAAGGAGGAGTGGGGAAGGATCAACTGAATTGTGAAGTCTGTACACTTTTGGGAAGACAGTGGCTGGATGACTGAATGAGTGATGGTGAATGGGTTTCCTTCTGTGTATCACCCTACCTAGGTAGGAGATGGCTGGTATGCTTTAAAAATATCACTAATTTACCTTAAAGGGAAACGAGCAGGAAACTGAGTCGACACCAAAATTATTAGTGGAAAGAAGAGAAGTACACCTACCATCCGACTTACGACCGAGGTCGGTTCCAAGAAACCGGTCGTAAGTCGAACTTCACTAATGAATATCAACAAAACATTTTTGTAATAGACTTTATTTTATTGTTTTATTTTGGTATTTCATGTTTTACTTTACCTTTTATGTTGTTAATACTGTATTTTATACTGTAAGGTTTAGGATAAACACTGTGTACAACACAAAGAGTTGTTTATTTCCCAGAAATTTGGGATAAAAATCACGGTCGTAAGTCGAGTGGTCATAAGTCGAGCAGGTCGTAAGTCGGATGGTAGGTGTATTAACCAGCTTCTTATATTGTATTAGTTTGATGAAATGGAAGTTTAATATCCTGAGAGCCAGAGGGTGTTTTATTAAGACATTGTAATTTAGAAATATAATGAAAGCAAAATCCAAGAGTTTTCACAGAAGTAGATTTTTGAGAGAAGGAAGTCATTTTAGTATGAGGCTAGGCAGTCTATAAAATCTGTAGGATACTCAAGGCCAGAAAAAGAACTAAAAAATATTGAAATTTCAGAGTCAAGAAAATGAAGATGAGAGATGCAGAGGATGAGAGAAAGAATACTTATCTTAGCACATTGCTCATTGTAGGAAACATAATTAATATGCATACCATTGTACACAGACTTGCAGTAGACATAAACATCAAGTACAGTAGGACCCCCATATCCAGTAGATAGTAGAAAACCCTACATGTAGGTCTTATCCATACCTATTATAAAATTTAATTGATAAATTATGCACAATAAGTGGAGAATTATCACTTTTTCACTTATGAGAAGCACTTTATGGCTTCTTTACTTCTGCACTTTGGGGACCATTATTTTTTTTTTTTTAACAAGTTGGCCGTCTCCCACCGAGGCAGGGTGACCCAAAGAGAAAGAAAATCCCCAAAAAGAAAATACTTTCATCATTATTCAACACTTTCACCACACTCACACATAACCACTGTTTTTGCAGAGGTGCCCAGAATACAACAGCTTAGAAGTATATATGTATAAAAATACACAATACAGTGGACCCCCGGTTTGCGATGGCATTGGTATTCAATACATTTTAACGCAAAAATTTTGCCTCGGTTCCCATTAAGAAACCCGGAATACGTGATTCGTCCGAGACGTGTCCACGTGTGGCCTGAACTGCCCCATGTGTGCCAGTGTTTACAAGCCAGACAGTGTGCTCGCATCTAAGGATATATTCGGTACATTTCAAATTATCACAGTGTTTTTGGTGCTTGTTTCTGCAAAATAAGTCGCCATGGGCCCCAAGAAAGCTTCTAGTGCCAACCCTTCGAGAAAAAGGGTGCTAATGACTATTGAAATGAAGAAAGAGATAATTGCAAAGTACGAAAGTGGAGTGCGTGTGTCAGAGCTGGCCAGGTTGTATTCAAAACCCCAATCAACCATTGCTACTATAGTGACCAGGAAAACGGCAATCAAGGAAGCTGTTGCTGCAAAAGGTGCAACTGTGATTATGAAACAGCGACTGCAAATGTTAGAAGATGTTGAGAGACTGTTATTGGTGTGGATAAATGAAAAACAGATAGCAGGAGATAGCATCTCTCCAGCGATCATTTGTGAAAAGGCTAGGCAGTTGCATGACGATTTGGTAAAGAAATTGCCTGCAATTAGTGGTGATGTGAGTGAATTTAAGGCCAGCAAAGGTTGGTTTGAAAGATTTAAGAATCGTAGTGGCATACATAGTGTGATTAGGCATGGTGAGGCTGCCGGAAAAGGACTTGCTACCTCAAGTCCTAATGGAAGGGGATTCCCCTTCTAAACAATAAGTTCGACACTCTCCCCTCCTCCCATCCCATCAATCATCACCAGATCTTCATTAAAGGCAGGCGGCGGCGGCGGCGGCGCGGCGGCGGCGGCGGCGGCAGCGCAGCAACGGTATCC